GCTTTGCCAATCTGTGTTTGCAGCATAAGTGCAAATATTTGTCTACTTGTTATTTTTTCCCTCTTATCTCCCTGCCACCCTCCCTCCATTCATGTCCCTTGTGCCCGAGGAAAGCCCGCTATGTCCAGTGTTCTATCACCAGGTGTTGCAGCCACACTGGAAAGCGGTCCTTGGTTTCTGTTTCCCCAGTAGGAAGTAACCTGTATCGCATTGTGCAATCAGGCATTAATCTACACATTTCTACCTGTTCTCTTCCATTAAATCCTTCTCATTTCTAAAAGCCATTTTCACTGACCTGGATAGATACTATTTATATTACTTATAATTTCCAGTGCTGAAAAATGTCAGATTGAAAACAACTCAAGACCTACCTGTTAACCACTCCCCCTTAATTGACAAACTGAAAAAAACCAAACAACAACAAAAACAAACAAAAGAAACTGAGCCAGAATGATTCTCTTTCCATTCTTTCTCCCTTCACTTCTAATTTCTTCTTCTTTCCCTCCCACTTGGCTCATCTTTCCCCTCTTCCTTCCTTTCACTCAGAAACATCTACTGAGCATCTGTTTGTGCCAGCCACAGCGCCAGGTGCCGAAGTTACAGCAGTGTCGGAGTCTGACAGCCCCCTGTCCTCATAGGACTTACATTCCCATGGAAGATGTGGACATAAAGCAACAAATTAAACATTCATTTGCAACTGTGATAAATTCTGCCCAGGAGACGGACGAGATAGCATGAAATCGAGTAACATAGGGGTTGTCGGTACAAACTTTCTTGAGCAATTTTCTCATCTGTATTAAACCCCTCAAAATGTTCATTTAATCTAGAAATGGCACTGCTAAAAATGTGTCCTACAGGGACAGAAATGTACTGGAGTGTGTATTCACCAGGACAATTTATTTACCAGAGCAAAGAAGCTGTGAATGTCCCTCTTGAGTAGTTACATTAGGCTAAGTAAAACATGGTACAACCAGATGATGAGTTAGCAAGAGCTTGTTCAACATCCCGCTGTCCAAGGATAGTCATTGGTCTGGGGACATGTTAACAATATTAAGTGAAGAAAGAGAGTCTATGAGACAGGATGCATTATACAATCCCGTTTCACATAAAATACAAAGTGGAGAGAATGAAACTGGTGAATCAAAGTCACAAGGAGGCACACCAGCATCTTCAAAAATTCTCAGTTGTCCAGATTTTCTTAAGTGAGTCTGTGTTACTTATGTAATGGGTCCATTTAATATTGTTTAAAAGTATGTGCTCAGTTAAATGAGGTCTCTGTATCTCCAGTACACAGGACATGCATTCATTAAATATCTGTTGAACAAATTTAAGATTCAAGAGAGGAAAGTTAAATATGGTTACCAGAGGGAATGGGGGGTGGGAAGGGATAAATTGGGAGTTCAAGACTTGCAGATACTACTATTATATATAAAATAGATAAACAAGTTTCTACTCTATAGCACAGAGAACTATATTCAATACCCTGCAGTAACCTAGAATGGAAAAGAATATGAAAAGGAATATATGTATGTATATGGATGACTGAGACATTATACTGCACACCAGAAATTGACACAGCATTGTAAACTGACTATTCTTCAATAAAAAAGAATGAAAGAAAAAAAGAGAGGAAAGTTGTGTGTATGGGTGTGTAAATAGTTCAATTCTATTAATTCTTTAAGAATTCTATAAATTCTTCAATTCTAGTAAAGGCTTGTGAAGTTTTATAAATATATGAAACAGCGTCCTTCTATAGGATGTTTTCAGATGCCCCCTTATGACGATATACCTTTACTGTATAGATTCTGAAAGTAAGAAAAAAAAACTAGTTGTTGAAAACACATAAATTCCAAAATTGGAAATGTGGGCCTCTCCTAGTAAGACTGGTAATAATGGCTCATTACATTGAATGGCCCTTATAAATGCAAATTCACTTTCATGTTCTTCCACATTTATGATTTATTACCTTCCGCCAGATATAAACTCCTTGGGACCCTAATAGTGCGTTCGCCCCTTACACCTTCAAATGAAGAAGTCTGTAAGGCTCCGTTAAAATTCTGCCTTCAAATATCTAATCAGCTGCAACCTTTTCATCAATAACCTTTCAGGGATTTGTGTCATTCATTAGGTGGTTAGAAATTTCTGAAATCTCTTCTGGATGCTAACTTCTTCAATTTGAAAATAAAGCCCATTAGCCACAGCTGTCAGATGCAAGAAGGAAATTCTACCTTTGGTGTAGCGCAAGGAGCTTGTACAGACTGGAGACTCGGGCCACAGGGAGAAAGAGAGAAGGTTGGCAGGCAAGAGCCTTTTCAAGCTCAGTAGTATATTGTGAAGATAGAGAAGAGAAAGCTCAAAATTATACTGCAAAATCAGGATTTCCCTAGCACGTGTAAGCTGAAAGATTTAAATCTCACCCAAGTGAACATATTTTTTTTTTAAGATTTGCATCACTTGAATCTATCCTTGGGATGAAATGAAATAATTAAAGATGATATCCTCCTCACGCTGTATTTTTGCTTAACAAAATGAGTGATAACCTGGGCTTTTATCTGACAACACAGATCACTGCATTTCTCACTCAAATTGAGCATTCATCCCATTCGGGTGTTGGGTGTCATGTGTCACTTTTTTTTGTTTGGTTTTTTTTCCCCACATACATTGTTGCTCTCCCTCTCCAGACCCTATTTCTGAATACTCACAAATTAATGTTGACTAGATGGTGAAAATTCTCTCCACGAGGTTTGAAATACCAAACACCTTCCACAAGGATCAATCTCATGAATTACCATGACAATCCAACAATTATCTCCACACACCTTCCATGCTTTCCACACAGCTTTTCAAATATGTACTAAATAGTCTTCATTATACTGCTCTCTCTCAGTTCACAAAATTATGCAGCATTTTGCAATGTTACCTATTGGCCCCCTCTTTCTGCTTAAATTATAAAGAATAAATTCAAAACAGATCTCGGAGTCATCAGATTACACTAATTGTCCTGGGGAAAGAGAAGTCGGGAGTAGGCTGGGTCTACAGGTATGTGTTGGAGACTGATGCTGTGGTCCCAAGCACCCTTTTCATCAACCATTTATGTGTTTGTTTCAGAATGGCTGTAGGTAATGTGCCTGATGGCATGGTTTAGCTGCATGTGGCCAGGGTGAGAGAGCCTCGTAGGGCGTGAGACTTGGAGTCAGATTATCAGAGAGAGAGAGTGACCTC